GTTTTACAGCTAGAGCGCTGAAATTTTTGACGTCAGCTAATGTTATGATTCTATAAAGTCTAAAGATTATAAGTCTACGACCATTAGGGGCGTGGCAAATCGGACCTGAAGATATAGTSATTTYTTAAATTCTGCTWTATTTTKRACWYTATTGATGCCAGAGACCTCAAATTTTGTATATATACTCGGGCTGATCACCCAAGACCAAAAAGTTTTGTCAGATATATCTCCGCCCACAGGGGGCGCAAAAGTTGATATCTCCTAAAGTATATGAGCTAGAAGCTTCAAATTTAGATAGTTAAGTTACCAGTAACCTCCTCTATCGATGACCTATAAATAATTTTTACGCCTCTTTAGGGGCGTGGCATATCGAAAAATACTCTGTAATTTTCACATTTTTTGAGGGTAAGGATTCAAACTTTGCAGTTAGGGTACCGTTATCAAGTTCTAAGAACTGACCAAAAATGAGGAGTCTACGCCCAGTAGAGGCGTGGCAAATCGGAAAAACCTGTATATTCTACAGTATTAGAGCGAAACTTAAGTACTAAATTGTTGGTGGGATGTGAATGAGTATTCCGCAGTTGGTCGTTACCCGACTGCAACGTTCTTACTTGTTTTTTTTTTTTAATTTTAAGGCAATATGTCATTTGGGAAAAATTTTCAGCCGATTTGTTTATGTGGATTATAAGTGGGGTATAATTATGATAAGCACTGTAGTAGCTAAAATAAAGCACTAAAATAAACGACTGGCAAGTCCACAAAACAATCGCAATTCTTGGAATATGCTAGAATAAACATATAGGAAAATCGCGGTGATCTGCTGCTAGCTAGAAGCCGGTATCCAAAATATAACGAAAATCCCGCCAAAGGCCCTGCTGCCTGTGCTTAACGCCTAGATTTAAATTGAAAATAAAATAAATAAATCTAAAATAACTAATTAGATCTAAGAGGGAATAGCTATCGATGCTTTCTCAAATTTAATGCGACTGTAAAATTTCACTTTACACTCGAGTTGACAGCTTTTGGACTGTGAATGAGTATTCTGATATCGGCAATGCCCAGCTGCAACGTTCTTACTTGTTTTTATATACATAAGCCTTCGACAATTAATAATCATATCTTTTATATAGTATTTGATACTAATAATATGCTCCTTTATTATTCCAATAGAAAAACTAATTATTTATAATTTATATGCACATGAACTATATTTAACAAATTTATGCGATAATAATACAAATCAGATTTACACCTTTGCACAGGCAAACACTTATTTACAAAAATAGGAATGTGCGTAAATGACAAAATTACATTTGAGATGTTTTGTATGAATTTGGGGGAGTGTTTGCCGTTTGGTTCTTTTGGGAAGTAAGTTTGATTTTTTAGGGCACAGAATGGCCCGATTTCTTTTATTTTGATTTCTCTTATATTATGCTATTCTGAAATGAAGCTGATATAAATATTTACGAACTTCAAATTATACTTAATGGCAAACACACATACTTCTGTAAATATATACACGTGTATAATATAAATAAATATGTATGTATATAATTATATGTGAGTTGGCCACTCATGCGTTCAGATATCATCATTATAATAAGACAATAAAATATATATATTTATGTATATATGTGTGTGGGTGTGTCTGTGTGTGTGCGTGTGTATGTCTGGTATGATCCATCCAGTCAGTTTAAGTTCCCATTGTTGGCTCCTGACGTATCTCTGATTTGAGCTTGACAAATTCCTTGGCTACTTCATCGTTATTTCGTTGCGATAGTATACGCAATATGGTCCAACCTGTTTCATCCATTTCGATACGTCGCTGCAAAGGTAGCCAACACGCAACTGATCCCTATATGTATATAGATAGATGATAATATTTATATAAATTTAATTTGAAAAATAGCTAAGACCTTTTCTGATATATCCTTCAATGGTATCACTGCAACTCCCACAAGGCGATCGTCTCGGGCAAAACAATAGTCCTTAACACAAATGTGAAGCTCGAAGAAATCGAGCTGCTCTTCATTACCGATAGTGCTATAAATTCAGTATTAAAGTACCGAAGAGGATAAAGAGTAGAGTAGAGTAGAGTAGAGATTACAAAGTATAAATCAGAATTTATTTGATGAATAATTTCTCTTGTTATGGGACAATCTTCATGAAACTTTCAGAACGTGATCATAATGTTTAAATATGTGTATATTTCAAAGCACAAATCTCTAGTACTTGAAATATCCCAAATCTTTAAGTTACAAAATCTGGAAATTTATTAAATTTCTATACATAGTAAATCTGAAGTCTCTAAGTCCGCTGAAAAAGTAGATCAATTTATCGATTATTATCGATAAAAATCGGATGAGTTATCGTAAAAATTTGATAAACTCGTCTCTAACTGTTATATCTTCTGAGACGGCGTTCATATCGACTCAGCTCGCCGCCCATATCAAGAATATATATACCTTATGGGGTCTGCGATGATTCCTTCCGTCTGTTACATACTTTTCATAGAACCATTAAACCCTGCTTTCCCATATTCAATGAGTTCAGGGTATGAAAATTGAGAGTGTACTACTACTGGAATGTCCCACTAGGAGACACCCTGAACCTTGGACTATTCTAATCATTATAGGCTTACGCTTACCCATACCTACATGTAAATTAATACATGCAGACAAGCATTACCACTTGCACAACTTACTTTAATATTATTTACGCATTGGATTGGACGGACAGAAAGCAGATGGAATGAGAAATCAAATTTCCAGAGCGTTGATTCAGTTTTATTTAAGTCTACTAGTCTGCACTGTTTGAAATAAGTTTTCAATGTAGCACTGCGAATGGCCGCCTGGGGGGAATATTTTAGAATTACTCTGTAAATCCACATCATTTTATGCAATATTGCTATGTAAGCGTACAATGAATATCACCTCTTCACAAGGCTCATAAGCTCTCCTTGTTTTCTTTTGACGAAACTTAGATATATACCTTAGCTTTAATTAGAACACAATAAAAAAAACAACAACAAATACTTACAAGCTGAATGATTCGTTGTATTTGGGAGACCAGTTATTCGACTTTGATTTGGTCGCAAATTTTCTCTTTTTGTCCTGAAGGTGGGGCCCAATAAGATTTATCTCCACGAATGGCCTGAACATGCCCGACGGTATTTGCCATTTCAGATCATTGGCAGCCACGACTAATAATTACAACAACATATTAGCATTTACATTTTAAAAATATAAAAAAACAGAAGCGATATACTCGCACTTTTTATTTCTACCGAGGAGGAGAGGAGTAAGCCTGATGTCAGAATGGCCGCGGTAAGTGGTATGAGCGATAATAATCGCAGCGATCTACAAAGCAAAGCAATGACATGACAGAGTGAAAGCTAAGAGAGAAAAAATGAGAGAGAAACAATGCGAGTATTCAAATTGGAGTCACTACGAGTGTTCAGATTTTAGTCTCAGTCGCAATGTTGTCATAATCATGAAAAAAAGCAAAGAGATCCATCTAATACTATCAATACTTTTGATTATTAACAGTTTAAGTATAATTGAGAGCAAATACATATAAAAACATAAATAGTTTTGAATAAAACTGTAATTAAACCTTGAATTGCGAACAAGAACATAATTCACCGACAAACCAACGGTTATTTAAGCTCAGAACGCAACAAAGTCACACGTATCAGAAAAGCTTTATCATGCCATAGAGCGAGAAAACGATTCAGGAATGCTTTCTCGCAACTCGCTTTACTTCTCGTTTTGGCTCTCTTCTCGCTTCGCTTGCAGTCTGACATGTTTTAAGCGATTACATGTAAATCTGCATGTAGAGCTTTCTCGCATATTGTCGCTCAATATTATCGCATCGCTTATCGCGGCCACTCTGACATCAGGCTTAGTGACAAAAATATTCAAATATCAATCTTCTAGCTCTTGAACTTAAGGAGACATACTATTTGGGAAGAAAGTGTTTACACACGGAAAAATTTTTAGGAACATGCGTAATATGCATTACATATTCAATTTTTTCAATTCTCTAGTCGAGACTGCTCCACTAGGAGATACCCTGAACCCTCCAAGCTGATATTCTAATCATTCTGGACTTCTTTTATGCAAGCATACATACACATGCATCCACACGCACTCATAAGCCTGCGCTCTGCTAACTGCGCAGTAAGCAGCGACTGGGCTTGGGCTGCGCTGCAATGTGGGCAGTATTATGAGAATTTATTTGTTGAATAATTTCTTTTGTAGACCAACGATCTTAATGAAACTTTCAGAGCGTAATCATATGGTGAATATGTGTGTACATTCCAAAGCACAAGTCTCTAGTA